TATATTTTTGAGTTTTGTTCTACATTTCCCCCATTCTTTATCCAGGACCTCCTACTATGAACCCTTTTAGAGTGCTCATAAATTGTAGCTGGGCACCAGTTAGTTTTACTGGTTTCAGGTTATAGTTTATCAGTCCTTTGGGCTCATTGTTTTTCTACAGTTATGCTTTTCTTCCCTCTTCTTTATTCTAGGCAGGGAGAAAGCAACAGTTACACTTTAGAAAACTTTTCACAAGCTTTATTATTATTATTTTTTTATTTCACCCTTTTTGTTGTTGTTGTTGTTGTTTGTGTACAATTGAATCAGATCCAACCAGCACAGGAGGAGATTGCCCCTCTTTTTCCAGCAGAGGATCTGGTAGATTTTCACAAGCTTTTAAGATACCAGTTGTTACTCATAAAACAAGATGAGGGCAGGGGAGGAAGTTGTGCAACAATGAAAGAATTTTTTTCTAAAGAGAGAAATGAACTGGGGGGTGGGTAAGGAGGAAAATGTGCAACAATGAATGGAAAATAAAATAAAATAAATGAAAAATAAGATGTAGAACATTGTCTTTGTGGACTATACGTTATGCCCCTTGATCTCCCTGAAACCATGACCCTGAGGCCCCAGCAACAGCAATTCATCCTCTCTTGGTGTTCGGTTATGATTAAGAAGTTCACATAGCTTTGCCTTCTCACCTTGCTTGGCCAGCTGGATCAGGTAGCTCTCTAGGTCACTCACACCATGGCTGGCAAAGTAGCTGTGATACTGGAAGACTGTGATGACTTCTAGGGGGAGGCTGGAGGAAAGGAGAGGCTCAGCCCGGTCCAGGATTTGGGACACCAGGGTCCGGAACACTGTTGGGAAGGGGAAGACACAAAACAGCTTTGAAGAAATATGACCATCAATCCATCATTTACTTTATCTTTTTATTCTAAGATACGTAGAGGGAAATGAGTTAAATGAACTCATCTTCACTGTACAGTTGGACAAATTTACTTGTTGTTATGTGACATTGAGCCACCTGTGACTGTACACAATAGCTCCAAACCCTGCTCTAACCCGCCTATGTCACTGTCTCTCACATACCTACCCCTATTGCCCCAATTACTGTGTCAACCCATCTCATCCTAGGTCTTCTTCTCTCGGGTTGTCCCTCCATCTTTCCAAACAAGATGTCCTTCTCCAAGGACTGGTCTCTCCTGGCCACATAACGAAAGTATTTCAGACAGTGCTTCAAAATCGTTGCTTCCAATGAGCAACCTGGTTTCAGCCTCTCTAGTACAGACTTGTTTGTTCTCTTGACAGTCCATAGTATGTTCAGCACTCTTCCCCAGCACCACAACTCAAAGACATTGATCAATTCTTCATGTGCCATCCTTATTCACTGGCCAGCTCTCTGAATCATAGCAAGTAACTACAAAAATTGTGGCCTGGATAAGGAGTACTGTAGTCTCTAGACTGACACTGTTGTTCTTTAGCACTTTGGAGAGGTCGCTAACAGCAAATTTTCCCAATGCAATTGATCTTTTGATTTCCTGACTGCTCATGCCAAGAGTGTTGATTGTGGAATGGAGTTAGTTAAAATTGTTAACATCCTTAATCCCTTCTTTATGGTGCTGCCAATTGGCCAAGTGGTAAAAATCTTTGTCTTCTTGATGTTGAGCCTCAATCTTTATAGAAGACCACAGTCCTTGATCTTCTGCAGCAAACACTTTAGGTCCACCTTCATTTTGGAAAGCAAGGCTGCATCATCCGAACAACACAAGTTTGTTGATGAATCTTCCTTCGATTCTGATGCCACCTTCCACTTCATAAAGACAAACCTCCTGAGTGATCTGTTCTGAATATAGATTGAAAAGGTATGGAGATAAGATGTATCCCTGATGCATTCCTTTCCTTATTCTGAACCATGCAGTGTTTCCTTACTCTGTTCTGAGTACTGCTTCCTGGTCCAGGAATAGGTTTCACATGAGCACAATCAGGTGTTCTGGGATTCTCTTCTCAATGTGCATAACTACATTCAAATCAAGACACAGAACACACAGCCAGCAACTCACAAAACTTTCTTGTGCTCTAGTGGCCTAGTGGTAAGGAGTTGTGCTGCAATCCTAAAAGCAAGTGGTTTGAATCTGTCACCTGCTCTCTAGCAAAAATATGGATAATCTTCTCCTGGGTGATTTATAGCTTCTGAAAACTCACTGGATGATCAGCCATGTGTTGGTTCTGACTTGACAACACTAACAATAGCAACGACTTCTTAGTCTATAGTTACCAACTATACTCAATATGTACACCAATTCAACAATTATAAGTATATTAATTATAGATACAAGAGGTAACTATTAATCCAACTTCTACCAACATCAATTAGTATTGCCTTATTTCCTGTAAATTAAAATTATAGTGTGTACTTTTCTATCTGGTTGTGTGTATTCCACAAAATATCTGAGATCTACCCAAATGGCTGCTATTCATAGTAATCTGTCATGAAAAAAAATGCTGTAAAATTCCCAAGATGGTGCGATTGGCACAGGACAGAGCCAGAATTTAGGGTTGTTGTACATAGCGTGGCTATGAGTCGTAAGCGACTTGACGGCACATAACAACAACAACATATGAATATATTAAAATGTATTCATTCTCTTGTTGACAGGCCTTTAGGTTGTTTCTAAGTTTTTATAGTCATGAATGCAACTTCTGGAGATATTGTTTATAGATCTCTTTTGTGTGTGTGTAGACAGAAGCACTTATTTCTCTTGACTTATTCAGGAATGGAATTGCTGGGAAATAAGCTAAGCATATATTTAAACATCACAGAAATCCTTTTTCAAAGGTATTTTTACATTTATGTTCCAAAATTGTGATATTTTATTGAAAGAGATATACATATTCTCAATACTGACACAGAATGTAGAACTTTAATAGTAGTTAATACTGTTACTGTGAATGCAAGCATGCGCATGCCCAATACCTCTCCCCAATCCAACCCCCTACCCCCACCCGTTTAAGTCTAACTCAGTGTCACTGATGTTTCCCCTGGAGACTAGGTTCTTTCAGAGCTGACATCTGTGGATCTCTCTAGCTATTACAGTGTCTACTTTCAAGGCTTCAGGAAGCTCCCTCAAGACTCACTTTCACACTTAAGGGCAGAAATGTTGTTCCTCCCATGGGCTTTTACCTGAGTCTGCGAGTCCTGGATATTCTTTGTCGACAGTCTTGGCAAAGCTGGCCTCCAGCTGCCTAATCACTCTGTCAGCTGAGCTGTGGTAGACACCAACGGGGCTGCAGCACTTGGTCCAGAATGAGAGCAATGACAGCTTCTTGTGGAATTCTGGTATGGCTGAAAAACAAGATCAATCCCCATCCCATAATATGTTTACCTCATTTCTTCAGAAACACAACTTTACCACAATTTGGGACCATAATTAAGATGTACAGGGTGAGAGCTGAGAGGATCCTCAACATGGAGCTGGTTCTTTGATATGCTCCAAAGAGGAGGTGTCCTTTTTTCAACTACTGATGTCTTTGGTCAATAAGGAGGTTCATAGAGCTGTTTGTCCAATGCTTTAATTTGGGCCCCTTAATACAGACATGAGTGAGGGACTTTTGGGACCTCCTCCTTGCAATAGGCTGACAATATATAATTAATCTTCTTGGTCCAGGCTGCCATTCCTAAGGGTCATTTTATTAGGGTAAGTGGTTAGGTTTCAAGACCCAACAACACACTTTTAAAGTGAAGGAGATGAAGAGATGAACTTGGTTGGGATGAAAACTCTTGTTTAGGTTTTTATCCTAAGCTATAAGATTCCTCTGCAGTTGGCAAATGTGGCCAAAGGGCAAAGAAGTAGTGATGAAGAACTCTGCACCCTGGGAAAGGAAGAAACTCAGTAATGGAAGAGTGTTTGCTCTCAGTGACAGAAATCACAGCCCCTCTCCTCTTTGAGATATGCCAATATAATCTCATGTCTATAACCCTCTAGAAAAAAAAATTCCAAAAATTGGAGAAATCTAACTTAAGAAGTTTTTTCTGGATGGGATGGAAGGAAGCAGAAGGTGTTAGACCTCTAGCAAGACGGATTGACACAGTCGGTGCAACAATGGGCTCAAATATAGCAACGATTGTGACAAGGCACATGACCAAGGGTCACTGTGAGTCAGGACCAACTTGATGGCTCCTAACAACAGGTGGTTCTTAGACTGAAATGACTAGACAAACGGAGGTAACATAGGGTCAATATTGCACTCATGCACAGATTGTGATAATGAGGAGGAGCCTGAGAGATATGAAGGTTATTTGCAGCCTGACATCCTAACCCTTTTCCTATCTCTCAGAGATCTGTCCAGTCACTTTTTTCTGAAGTTACCTAGAAATCCTAAATAACAAACAAACAAATAAACAAAAACAAACAAAATCCCAAACCAGCTGCTGTAGAGTTAAGTCCAACTCATCACAACCACATGTGTCTCAGAGTTGAATGGTGCTCCATAAGGCTTTCAGAGGCAGTGGTCTTTTGGAAATAAATCACCAGGTCTTTTTTTTTTTTCTGAGCTATTTCTATGTGGGTCTGCACAGCTAGTCTTTAAGTTAGTAGTCCAATACTTAACCATGTGCATCCCAGAGTCTCTGAGAAGGTCATACTCAAAAACCAAACCTACCACTCTCAAGTTGGTTCTAACTCATAGTGGCCTCATAAATATGCATGGAGAGAAGAACTCTCCACATGGCTTATTGGTTATCCACTACAGAGAAGATGACTTAGCAATATACTCCATAGGCCTTCATGGCTATATTCTTTCCAGAGCAGATCACTAGGACCTTCTGTTACTAGGCCATGGGGGGGGGGGGAGGAGTTCAAATCACCAACTTTTCAGTTAATAGTTAAGTGCAAACCACTTGTGCCACCCAGAGACCTTAGAAGACCTATTACTTCTACTATCCTGTGAAAGCATTATTTTTGCTTTGAAGATATAAATTCTTACTATTATGAAAGAGTCCTAAAGCCAGACCACACAAGCTCAAAGGTATTTACTAATGCTAAGTTCTGTACCTAAAGCTCTCCGAACAAAGGCGCTTCTATAGACCTTAAAAAAAAATCGTATTTCTACCCTTTCCAAGGAGGGTGTGGAAGCACCTTCTATTGGACTGTCAGCTGCTTGGGGAGCTGTATTAACTAGCTTCATAAGCAAGTCCAATTTTGATCATTCATTCATAAATGCAACTACACAAATAGGTCTGTGAAACTGCCTACAAGGGGTTTACCATTTTTCTTCATACTTTACTGCCTGCTTCCACAGGTGTCTATAGTCTCAGTGTTGCTTCCACTGCTTGCCTCAAAAGTCAGCCATTGCTATGGACTCCAAACTGACTCAGTAAGATTTTAGAGGCTGTAAATTGCAAGGGAGGAGTTCGCCCATCTTTCTCTATTGGTAGATTCGAATGGCCAGAGAGGCATTAACTTCAGGTGACTAAGCCACCAGAGGTACCAGGGTAGACACATTATCCTACACTATGGCCCAGGAATGCTTCTGTGCTGTCCTGATAAAGCAGTGAACAGACACAGGCAGTAGATTAGTGGTGTCATTGTTTGCATGAATGGTGGAAGGATTAGCGGATGCTTACCTTCGATAACAGAACTGATGTTTCCTATGTTCTCATCACTGACAGCTGCGAGTTTCTCCATCACTTGGATCTGCCTAGAAAGCTTTTCTAGAAGACTTCTTGCAACAAATGGAGTCTTGCTTGAAAATACAATTTGCTAATAAAACAATCAAAACAATGATTTCAGTTATGTTGTTGTTAGTGGAACTCAAACTACTTTCTCCACTTAATCTTATCTTTCCCTAGATGCAATAATGATACCAAATAAACTCATTCAGTGCCTTTCTCCAAGCCAGACAATGATCCTCATTCCATGCCAGCTACTTCACCTGATGAAATCAGACATACTTTTGGGATGTAAGTGTTCTTCATGTCTATATAAGTTCTGGAATTTTCTCAATAATTAGAACTGTAAGTCCTCCTTTCCTTTTGTGTACTATAAATTTAACTTTCCTCTTTAAAACCTGGAAAACATTTTTTAAGCTATGTCTTGATGTACAAGTAGCAAACATTTCTGTTACCAGTGAAGTAATTTTTCTTTTTGGAAGGGTGAGAACACTTTATAAATTTATAAATAGGCTTTTGCTAGCCTCCTCCTACTCCCATCAGAAGGAGCCCAGGGACCACATCACAGATGAAGAGTGGCCTGAGGGCCAAGATCCTCAAATAGCTATGGCTGGGCACATGAGGAGAGGCACACACCCATAAAACTGGTCCTGGGATCAGCAGTCACTGGCAGAACCTGGAGTGATGAGTGGTGTGGCTTTCTCATCTTTGGGGTTGTGCTTTTGTCTGGACTTGCATTTGCATTTGCTACCAAAAAGGTCACTGGCTTCCAAGGCTGGCAGGCCTAGTGCAGCCATTTTCCACAGCATGACTTTATTTTTTGGTGTTCAAACTGAAATCTATGAGCATATGGTACAATAATTATAAATCAGAGCTATCTCATTATCCTTGGGAGTACTTGCTATATACCAAGCTTTGGTCTGAATCTTTTACTTCTACCCACTGCCATTGAGCCGTTCCAGCTCATGGCAGCTCTGTTGAATTTTCAAGGTTGTAAATCTTTACAGAAGGAGACAATTTATCTTTCTCTGTCGTAAAAGTTGGTGAATTCAAACTGCCCATGTTCAGTTAGCAGCTCAACATGAAATATACCACCAGGGCTCTTTAATCACTGGGTCACTTAATTTCTCACAACCACCTAATGAGGTTGGATTGGTTGCTATCTCTGCTCTTCTTAAGAGGAAACTTAGACACAGAGAGTTTAAATGGTGCATCTAACATCACTTTAGTAGTAAGTGGTTTCATTTACATGCTGGTCACAAGAATTAGAGAACTCCCTGACAGAGAAAAGAACACGAGTTAGTTGCTGCCTGAAAGTTTGACTTCCTTTTGTGTTACTCAAAGACCTGTTGCTGCCACCAGGTAGGTATATATGCATGATGTTGTTGCTGTTAGCTACCTTTGAGTCTGTTCCCACTCATCGTGAGCTCATGCATAACAGGATGGAATGCTGCCAGTCCTGCGCCATCTTTGTGACTGGTAGTATACTCAACTTGTAGTGTCCTTCTTCCAGTACATGTTGAATAATTTTCTGTTGAGATCTATAGAGTTTTCATTGGCTAATTTTTGGAACTATATCATCAAGTCCTTCTTCCTAATGTCTGGAAGCTCCACTGAAATCTGTCTACTCTAAGTGACCCTGTTGGTTTTGGTAATACCAGTGGCATAGTGTACAGCATCACAGCAACTTACAAGTCATCAAAGCATGACAAACTCCTGACAGACAGGTAGTGAACTAACACTTACAACACATACTACTATCCTATACTATTAAAAGAATGCACATAGTTCTACCTTTTGTTTGTAGAGTTTAGAAGCATCTTCCACTAAGTTGGAAAATTTAAAAGTATGTGCAGCAATTATGTACTAATGTCTTTCATATAAATAAATATACTAATTTATTTAAAAATAAATGGCTAGTAAGTTTCTTATGCAATTTCTGTATTTATCTCCTCTGCAATTATATATCAAATGTACATATAAATGCATTGAATGAGAATAGGGGTGAATTAAAAATTAATTTCTATTTTTAATTTCTCTGTTCTACATCTTACAGTTTGCTCTTCTCCACCCCCGCCCCCCAGCCCTCGCATCAATCATTTACAGTCGAGAGCCCTGGTGGTATAGTCGTCCATAGAAAGTTCCATTCTAAGCCAAAGACACTTTGAATCTACCTGTGTCTCCATGGGAGAAAGACAAGCACTCCTTCCTGTTATAAAACCTGACCAAGGCACTATGCATTGGAACCAACTGGGCAGCAGTGGATTTTTAGTTTGATCTTTTATTAAAGAGCTGGTTTGTTATAGATATGAGTTTAGTATAGGGAGAAATATAACACTGAATATTGAAGGACAATCTTTGGGAGAAAACATTCACTCCTTCAGAGAAGAGAATTGACTCAAGTCCCTCAAAATTAGTGTTTTAAATCTAAAAGGTAAGTAGGTGATTTGCTAAACACAGAATCAGGCTCATTCAAATGGTGGGTGAATATAAAACAGTGTTACTAGCATCTATCTATCAGGAGGCCTTGAGTATGGTGACCTCATACACAATCAGATCTGACTGACTTTTTCAGATAAAGATTGTGAGATCTTTCTTTACAGTTTTAGTCTGGGATCTCTGCTGAAATATCTTCAGTACCATAGTTAACATGCAAGTCTCCACTGACAGATGGGGACTGACTGTTCATGAGATACACTGGCCAAGAATTGAGCCCAAGCATCCCCTGTGGAATGCAAGAATTTTACTTCTGAGGCACACTACTGTCGCAAACATAGAATGTGGTGGTTGCCATTGTTATTAGGTGTTACTGAGTTGACTACAACTCCTAATGATCCCATGGACAACATATGGGAATCATCTTCATGATTTGTGCTTTGCTACTGCACCAACTGTGTCAATCCATCTTGCTAAGGATCTTCCTTTTCTTTTGCTGATTTTCCAGTTTTCCAACTATGGTGTCTTTTCAATGAGTGGCACCTACTGACAACAAGTCTGTAAGATGAAATGTTACCATTCTTACCTTTAAGGAGCAAGCACCCTGGTTTTACTTCCTCCACAACAAATTTGTTTATTCTTTTGGCAGTCCATGATATCTTCAACATTCTTCAGTTCAAAGACATCAATTCTTCTTCAATCTTCCTTATTCATCGTCTAATTTTCACATGCATATGAAGCAATTTAAAAGATCATGGCTTGAGCCAGGCTGAGCCAGGCATACCTTACCCTTTAAACTGACTCTGTTCTTTAGCACTTTATAGAGGTCCTTAACAGTAACACTGTCCCAGTACAACAGTCTTTTGATTTCTTGGCTGCTGTTACCATGAATGTTTATTATGGGTCCCAGTAAAAAGAAATTGTTGACAACTTCAATCTTTTCTCCATCTATCATGACCTTTTCTAACTATCTGGCTTTTTGGCCCAATTTTGAGGAGTTTTGTTTCTTTGATATTGAGGTGTTTGAAGTCTTTGATATTCTTCAGTAAGTGCTTCAAATATAGAATAGCTTTAAGTGAATAAAAACTTGTCCATGTTAGCCAGAAAAATTGCACCTTCTGCAAGACTGTTATGATCATGATTAGTAAATTAAAAATTCAAGACATCATTTGAGATGCTAGCCAGCCAAATGGCAAGAGTCATAATCACCAAACAATGTCCCACATTTGGGAGCAAAAAGCATATTATCCCTAATATCTCAAAGAAGTGATATAAATACAATATTTGTCCTTTGATGAATGGCTTATTTCATTCACTACAAGGTACACTTGATCCAGGTCATAGTCTTCACAATTACTTGCTATGTATCAGAAAGTTGGACAATGACTAAAAATGACAGAAGAAGAATCAATGCCTTTGAGTTGTAGTGCTGCAAAAGAATCTTGAACAGGGCATAGACCACCAAGAAAACAAATAGGTCTGTTTTGGAGAGGGTAAAACCAAGTTTCTCCTTAAAGGTTAGGATTTTGAAGCTCCATCTCATACACTTTGGGCATGTGGCCAGGAGGGAATAGTCCTTAGAGAATGACATCATGCTTGGAAAGATGGAGGGACAGTGCAGAAGGGGAAGACCCCAGATGAGATGGATTGATAGAGTAACTGAGTCAATGGGGGAAGGTGTTTCAGAGTCAGTGAGACTGGCTCAGGACAGGGGCAGCTTCAGGCCTGTTGTGCACAGGGTTACTATGAGTTACAGGAAACTCGACAAGACATAACAACAACAACAACAACAATAGAAACAACTGCTTAGGTTTGCTCTGAATCACAGACTTTCTGATTTTCTAGTTTCTTTTTCCACTACATGTTGTGCTGAATGAAAATATTTTCTCTTGTAACAGTTCAGATCAGATAAGGCGGCATTCAGCTAATTCAAGAATTTTAAGATCCAAGAACACAACATAAATGAATAGCCTAGGTGTCTCCAAGTCTTCCCTCTTAACAACCTTTAACTCTGCTAAGAGTTCTCAGATGCCATGTGAGTGATTCCTGTATGACTTCCTAGACAGTGGCCATCTTGAAAGGGCATGTTCTGTGATGACCAAGAACCTCCTCAGGAGATGTCCATCTCATAAACTGCATGCATGTGTTTGTGAAACTTGCTGAAACACATCTAAAAACAGCCATCTTGTTCATTTATGCAAGACTCAGATAGTTTTGCTGGTGGCAGCCATCCTGAAAGTACAAGTGCATGTTGTTGTTGTTGTTGTTATGTGCCGTCGAGTCGCTTGTGACTCACAGCAACCCTACGTACAACAGCCCTAAACCGTGCTCTATCCTGTGCCAATATCTTTGCCTCTGACACACCCATCCCGATTACCCCAGTCACTGAATCAATCCGCCTCATAGAGGGTCTTCCCCTCCTGCGCCGTCCCTCCACTCCACCCAGCATGATGTCCCTCTCTAAAGACCTGTCTCTCCTTACAACATGTCCAAAGTATGTCAGGCGAAGCCCCAGAATCCTTGCCTCCAAGGAGCAGCCTGGTTTAACCCTCTCTAGGATGAATCTGTTTGTTTTCCTGGCAGTCCATGGTACATTCAATACTCTTCTCCAGCACCACAGCTCAAAGGCGTCAATTCTCCTTCTATCCTCCCTAGTCATTGTCCAACTCTCTGATGCATAACAAGTGATTGCAAAAACCATGGCCTGTATCAGGCGCACCTTAGTCTCCAGATTGCTCCTGAGTACTTTAGAGAGGTCCCTAACCGCAGACTTTCCCATCGCAATACGTTTTTTGATTTCCTGGCTACTGGTGCCAAGAGTGTTGACCGTGGAGCTGAGCAAACTGAAGCTGTGAACACTCTCAATCTCTTCGCCATCCATCCTGATGCTACCGACTGGTCTGGTGGTGAGAATTTTTGTCCTCTTGACATTGAGCCTCAGTCCATACTGAAGGCTGCAGTCCTTGACCCTCTGCAGTAAGTGCATGAGGTCCTCCTCAGTTTCAGCGAGCAAAGTTGTGTCATCTGCATAACGTAGATTGTTGACAGATCGTCCACAATCCTAACGCCACACTTCTCCTCATAGAGCCCAGCCTCTCGGATAATCTGCTCTGCATACAGGTTGAAAAGGTATGGATATAGGACACATCCCTGGCATACACCCTTCCCAATTTTGAACCATGCAGTGTTGCCCTGCTCTGTTGTGACAACTGCCTCTTGGTCCAAGTATAGGTTTTGCATTAGCACAATTAAATGTTCTGGGATTCCCATTCTTCTCAGAGTCAGCCACAGTTTGTTATGATCCACACAGTCAAACGCCTTTGCATAATCAATGAAACACAGATAGACATTCTTCTGGTATTCTCTGCTTTCAGCTAAGATCCATCTAACATCATCTACAATATCCCTAGTACCACGACCCCTTCTAAACCCAGCCTGGACTTCTGGCAGTTCTCTGCTGAAGTACTGTTCCAGTCGTTTTTGGATAATCTTCAGTAGAATCTTGCTTGTATGTGAAATCAATGTTATTGTTCTGTAGTTTCCACATTCAGTTCGGTCACCCTTCTTTGGGATGGGAACAAATATAGATCTCTTCCAGTCAGTTGCATATGTGCTCAGTTATCCTATTTCCTCTCACATGGGCCAATCTCAGATGATTTCCCGCCTCATTTCATGAACATGAGGATCTTTTCCTTTTGATAGGTTAACTCTGAAAGATCAACCTTCTTCATGAATAAACACAATGTCTTTTCCCCGCCTCATGAGCCTTTAAAAAGATCATGTCCTCTTGTAGATTAGCCATGCCTTTCCCCCATGTTTCTCTTCACAAATTATTTTCCCTAATAAACCCATTTCTTCGCTTGCATATAAAAGCCTGGAATCCTATTTTGCGACTTTATCTTGGTGATTATAATTAGTGAGTCATCTGGCTACAGAGCATGCATCAGGATTTTATTCCTCTTTATGGCTGTACTATGTTCCATTGTCAATTGTGTTTTCCCATTTATCTGTTTATGGACATTTTGGTTGTTTCCACCTTTAGGCTATAGTGAAAAGACTACAATTAAACACCTGTGTACAGGTTTCTATATCCATTCCTGCCTTCACTTCATCTAGGTATAAAAGCAGGATTGAACTGCCTCTTAGGGTAATTCTATGCTCAAGGTTTTGAGGGACTGAGAAGATTCTCTTTTGTGTACTCTTCTTGCTTGGATTATTCCCTGAGACCATTATTATATTTTCTTCCACCTTTTACTTGCATACCCAAAAATAAGTGGGAGAAGGAAGGGCAAGATTGGGGAAAGACATGAAACTAGGCAAGGGAGAAGTTTTAAAGTAGATGTGTGAGGGACAAATGCTTTGCTCAAGAAAGTGGGAACACCTCTTGCATAAGTAATTTCAAAATATTTGCTCCCCTGTTGTAAGACCTTATGTGGTAAACAACTTGAAATGAGAAGAAAAGTAAACTCTAAGTTTCTCAGAATGATAACTAGTGATGATAATAACCTATAGAAACATATATTTCTGTTGCTAAGGAAAAACCAAAACTCTCAAAACCAACTCACAGCTGATCATCCAGGGTATTTTCAGAATCTATAAATTGCACAAGAGGAGATTGTCCATCTTTTTCTCTTAGAGCACCTGCCGGCTTCAAAATGAATGCCTTTAGGTTGGCAGCACAATTCCCTATCCGTTAGGCCATGAGAGCTCCTATTGTAGAAGAAGGGATCTTTAGGATCTTGTAAACTTTATGTAGATTAGTTAACACTTTGAGTTAGCAATATGGTTGACATAAAATTAACTAAGGTGAAAATTCTTGTTTATCTATTAATACGTTCACCAATACTGGCTTGTGAAATACAAATGTTGTTGTTGTTGCCATCAAGTCAAACACAACTCATAGTGACTCCATTTACAAAAGACCTAATATCTTTCTATAACTATCATCATTTCTTCAAGTTTATTAATTTCCATAGACATGCGGTTTAGGAAGTGGATGCCATTCCTGCTTCCAAACCTTTTACAACTGTGAGCTCAACCAAACATTGTTCACATTGGGAAACTATTATGGCATTTGACACCCCAATGGCACAAGGTTCAGCATCACAGCAAATCCTGATTACCTCAATACAGGAAATTGACGAAGAGTGATGTACAAAGTAGAAGAATGGTCCTCCAAAATATAACAATACTAGTCTTACTTAGCAGTGGTTAATTATAGTCAGGTCTATTACAACTCATAGCAACTGTATGAACAAAAAACCTGAACTCTGTTCTATAATTAACATCATTTCTTTATGTTGATAGAGTTTATGGAGTTTATAGAGTTTCCAGAGGCATCTGGTTTAGTAAGTGGACGCCACTCCAGCTTCCAAAGCTGAATCAATCTGGAAGCTCCTCCAAATACTGTTCATGATGGGTAATCATTATGGTATTTGACACAACTATGGCACAGTGTTCATCATCACAGCAACTCCAAGTTATTCAGTACAGCAAATAGACAACTGCTCTACCAATTAAAGAATGTTCATCCTAACATTAATAAATTTGACCCTTGGGCCTGCAGACCTCGGGCTCTACAGAATTTTAAAAACACACCCAACAAATGCTCTTGACTATGATAAATGAAGTATTCCCTCAGCCCTTGGGTCCTTGTTGGCTAAAACAGGCAACCAAAAGTCCAGCCAGCTGGCTGACACTCAAGATGCAAATAGTCTATTTTTAAAACAAAAATATAAAAAAAACAAAACAAAATATACCACTTTTATTTACTACTAAAACATGTTAAAGTAAGAGCTATTATGTATGTTCCACTTGTTACTTCTTTTCTCCAAAAAAATGAAACCATTTTTTTGCTACTACCTTTTAAAATTTGGTGATCTAGATTTTAAGATAAGAAACCCAGGGTTGAACAAAGTGGGAACATCCATCAGTTTTTAACTCAAAAGCAGGATTGTTCTCTTGGTAATTCTCATTTTCTTTTCTTTTTTTTTTTTTGAGGGTGCAAATGAAGTTTATAATATTTATTTACATTTTCTTTTTTTTAAAAAAAAGCAGTGTTTTTTTTCTTGTTAATGAGATATACAATAAAACTTACACCAACTCAACAATTTCTATTTGTATAACTCAGAGACACAGACTGCATCCTTTAACTTGCGCACAGCATTCTCCTGATTCTCATGTCATCAGTTAAACTAAGAAAGGCAGCAGTATTTCTTAACTGGAGAGAATCTGAAATTAAAAAATAAAAGCAGTCACCAATCCTACCTGAATGAGTTGGGTGCAATACTGTAGGTGCCTGACGATGGTGATGTCAAGGCTTTCATTTCCAGTGGTCAGTGGGAGAGGGCTTCCGGCCACACTGGTCCCAACTCCTGTGTCTTCGGTTAGTGCTTCACTAAGATGCCCCCTGGCTTCTGGATGTGCTGACCTATAACTGATGAAGCAGGAAGGTGGGTGAAACATGAGTTATTTTTCTCTGTGAGAACTACAGGTCAATTCAACACGGTACCCATAAATTCTTTAATGAAAACAGGTCTACCATCAAACATCAAGATATCTTTCAAAAAGTGCTTTTTCATTTAGTCCAGCTTCCAACTTGCCTAATGTTAAAAGAACACACAAATTGCTTCCCAAGTTCTCTGTTTGCTTCTTGAGCACAATGAAACATTTTTGAATTGGTCTCTCCAAGATGTCTTTGAAAGGTGCCCTGGCTACATTTCCTTGCTCTGTTGACAGGGTAATTTGCCAATTTTTCTGTCCCCTATATTTGTGGTTTCCCAAGAGCAATATCATTAAGAAATCATCTGTCAAGGTCTTTTCCTGGCTTTACATCAATTACTACTTGAGGAACAGGAACAAGTAAAGCTGCCAAGAGGAGAGACATCATGTTCTATTCTGGACAAAAGTTAAAAGGAGAGTGGAATTACGTAGATGCCTCACTTTGGTTCTGCTTTCCATATTTTGTTTAAACTTCACTGCTCTGCTGTCTAAAGTCCCGTCATGATTGTGTATGGATCTTACATGGTTGGTACTGATCTTTTAACATAATCTAGTTGTATTTATTACTGATTTTACACTAAAAATGACTGTGTGCAAGGAAGAGAGATGTACTAGCAAGCTGACTAGTAGGGATATGATTCTGATTCACAAAGTCAGTCAGTGGCAAAGCCTCTTCTGATTTCTATGCTCCTACTACACAGTCTCCACCATTTAAAAAGCTCATCCTTCAGAGCTTAGTGGCTCTGAATGCTTCTTTGTCTGACCCACAATGGCCTCCAAAAGGAACATACTCAGATTGAGTCCTGGCAAAAAGATACACTACCCTCCATATACATTTGTGCGTGTGCACACACACCCTGTCTGAAATGATATCTCTGCTGAAATGCAATAACAGTGATCAAATTACATATATTTATTACCTATTTTCTAGAGAAGATACAAAAGTTATAATACTTTTAGGGAGCTCTGATGGTCTAGTGGTAAGAAGTTGCAGTGCAATTCCAAAGGCAGGAATTTCAAATTCACCATCTGCTCTGCGGGAGATGGATAGGCAGTCTCCTCCTGTGCGATTAACTGCCTCTGAAAACCACTGGAGGGCCAGCTATGAGTTTGTTCTGACTCGATGTCATATCACCACAACAATAATGCTTTTGTTACTATAGTGAATCTTCGAGCAAGAAGAAAGTATCTGGCTTGATGTATCATATAATAGCTTTAGCTACTGAGTAAAAGGGAGCTCTGGTAGTGTTGTTACAGGAAGTTGCACAACTCACCTAAAAGTAGCATCTCTCCGGGGGTTTAAACCCACCAGCTCCTCTGTGAGAGAAAGATGGGCAATCTCTTCCTGTGCTATTTACAGCCTCTGAAAGTCTTCTGGAGGTCAGCTATTAGTCAATTCCAGCTTGATAGCACATAACAACTTTTTGCTATTCCTGAAGCCCCTCTATAACTATTGACATTTATCAAAGTTCATAGACTTTTCAGAGGCATGTCGTTTAGGAAGTGGATGCCACTCCTGCTTAGTTCCTTCAGGGAATAAAATCTATTTCACATGTTTTTTCCTTTTTAATTTTAGAAGAATAAACTTTCAAAGAACAACAAAACACCAAAGAATTAAGATATTCAACAAAGAGTTCTGCAAAGGTTGAATAGCCCAGCCATAGCTGCTTGTAACCAGTAAACCTGTGTGATGGTTAATATTGTGTGTCAATGTGGCCATGATCCTCAGCTTAATGTAATTACCCTCTTTTTTCTTTTGTTTCTCCTTGTATACCATCAAATTGGATCCAACTGGCACAGGAGGAGATAGTGCCCCCTTCTCCAGTGGATTAGAACTGTGTGCCTTCAGGAGTACAGTGCAGCGTCTTCTTGCCAGTAGGCCACTAGAAATCCCTTGTAATTATCCTCTTTAAAAACTCATTGCTGTGTGTCAGAGTCAACTCATAGCTGACCCTCCAGTAGATTTTCAAAGTCTATGAATTGCATGGGAGGAGACTGCCCATTTTTTCCCCCAGTGGAACTGCAGTGAATTTGAACTGCCAGGGGTTAACACCATGGGGTTAGCAGCACCCCTTCCTGCAGACTATGACACTATAGCTCAGGCAACTGTGTTATATATGGTAAATTCCAACTTCTAGGGAGCTCTGGTGGCCTAGTGGCAAGAAATTGTGTTGCGATCCTGAAGGCTCGTGATTCGAATCAACCAGCTGCTCTGCAGGAGAAAGATGGGCAATCTCTTCCTGTTAACTGTCTGAAAGCCCACTGGGGAGTCTGCTAGGGGTCAGATCTGACTCAATGGCACACAACAACAATAACAATGTTAATTAAGCAGGATTAGAGTTGGTTTTGAAAAGATTTTGATCAGCCGTATCTGATTAAGGAGAAATTTCAGGGTTGTGGCCTATAAAGATATGATCAGCTTTATTTTGGTAAGGGGAAGTCACCCCAGGAGTGTGTCTGCATTGGAGGTATGTTTGGGTTCTGGAAAAAGCTAGGGAGCATTTTGTCTGATTTACATATAGGTATGTGGCTTGTGGTCCCTAAATTAGAACGAGTAACCTGCCTCTTTTTAACTTTAGACTCATCAGTCTCCAAAGTCAGACTTCTTTGACCATGCTCTTACAAGATAGCCTTTGGACTTGCCAGCCTCTCAAGCTGGTACCACAAAGCCTGGTGGCATAGTCTATAGGCAATTGTGTTGTTATCTCAAAGGCAGTGCTTCTCTGGTGGTCGGAATCCACTAACAGTTTCTCAGGAGAAAGATGGGTAATCTCCTGTGTGATTTACTACTTCTGAAAATCTGCATGAAAGGTCAGCTATCAGTCTGTCCCAACTCAATGGTAATAAATTTGAGTTTACTTTTTGAAGCTGGCAGTCTTCAAATCCAGCAGTCTGAGACCCTGCCTTCCAGCAGAAAATTTGGACTCATTAGTCTCCTAACCTGTTTAACTCATGCTGTGCCAAAGGGAGAATGGATAGTAAATTACCCTTTCCTTTGGGTATGCAAATGGGCATTCTTTAACAGTCGTTGATAGAGAAGACTATGTACCATTAAGCTTGTTCTACTTCACCTGAAATTACAAAATTGAACCCAGATTCTAGGCCTTAAAAATGGTATGGCTAGCAATCTCCTCCCTTTCAATTAACTGCCTCTCAAAACCCATCAGAGGGTCAGTTATGGGTCGGTTCTGACTCTACAGTATACAACAACAACAGTGAAGGAAGCTTCTACCCCCTACCACAGAGAGCATGACATTTTTCATCAAGTAGACTGCAGAGAGGGTTGTACTCATTAGTTCTCTGTCATTCTTCTTCCATCCTATTGAAAATATGAGCCATGATACTTGAACTTGACTTTGATATATGCGGTGATGGGCTTAATCTGGTGCACAGACTTACTGGAATCAAGGAAATGAAGACACAAATACAGATATAGGGAGAAACAAAGCTTAATACAAAGGTATCAGCATTAAGAACCAAGTCAAGGAGACTATCCCAAAGGCATGTAGTTCGATTCCACCAGCTGCTTCATAGGAGAAAGAGGAGCAATCTTGGCTTATGCAGTTAACCTCTCAAAACTTGCTAAAAAGTCAGCCATAGGTCAGTTCTGACTCGATGGTACCCAATAACAACAACATTGGTCCTACAGGACAGAACAACACTGTAGGGTTCCTGAGACTATCAGTCTTTATGGAAAAAGATTGCTCCATGTTTTCCCTTTGGAATGGCTTGAGGGTTCTAACCATTAATCTTTTTGGTTAACAGCCAAATGCTTTAACCACTGTGTCATCAGAGTTAAGGAGAAAGAGGTTAAAAATTTAATCAAGTAATGTTATCAAAAAACATAGTTTATCTAATTTGGAATGAATTACACTGAGGTCAAATTGTGGACACTGAACGTGTATACACCTACACATACATAGAAATTGTCTCTCCATTTGTAAGACAAACAAAACAATTTTCCTTTCAACACACCAGAAAGGTAGACAATATTTGAGAGTTGTACTCAATAATAAATGCACAGGATAGGACAGGGTTCAGATCTGTTGTTCATAAGGTCATACTCAATTCGATGGCACCTAACAACAATAACTCAATAATAAAAGAGTGTCAGTTAGTTGACCATTCATATGGGGAATTTTCTCCTTTTTGGAGATATGCACCACGTTCCCTCTATTTGGTGCAAGGAATAAGTGTTTCATCTAGAATGGGAGAAATAAAAGCTGATACTAACTTCAGACTTACCTGTTTTTCTCGGTCTCAGTGTCTGAAAATACTGAGTCAGCACCTCCTCCAACATTACAAACCTCCTCACCATCCTCCTCCTCCTCATCAAAATCAGAGGTATTCAGGAAATCAAAGCTTTCTAAAGCACTTTCAACTGTAAGACTGAAACTGGAAGACCTGCTGCGGCTTACGGGTGGCTTGCACTGCAAAGGCAGAAGGCACCAAGGAAAAGATCAACACGTTCGAACGGAGAGAACATACATCAACCAATTTAAGGTACAAGCACTTTCAATTCTTTTTCAAATTTTTATTTATTTATTTTTTTTGGTTGGCACTTTTCAATGCATGTAAAATAGTTTTTTTTTAAAAGGAGTTACAACCACAAATGAAAGGATACAACACCTGGGATTTATTCCAAAATCATTCAGAAGAAAGGAAATGGGTATAAAAAGAGATGAAACCAGATTATTCTGGTTGATCATTGTGGAAACTTGTCGATGGGCACAATGGGATCTATTTACATGGTCTACTTCCATTAAGATGGTGCAGGATAGGACAGGGTTCAGATTTGTTGTTCATAGGGTCACCATGAGGCATATTTGACAACACCTAACAACAACAACAACAACTTCCATTTGAAACTTCTTGTAATTGAAAGATTTAAAAAAAATTATTACTTGAAAGCATTGAGAAACCAACTGGTATACTCTACTCTATGCTCAACCTTGTACAAAATAGAACTAACAGACACATTTTAAGAGTTACTGAGTCAAAGCCAGGTACTAACAATAAATTCCAAGTGGCAAAGTTTTCAATATCCTGAGACGGAAACTAGACATCTAAGGCACTGATGCTAAAGGAGTAGATAAAACCAACAAACCAAAATACTGCTTAAATTCACCTTACTCATGATCCCTAGATGAGAAGCCTTACATTTGACTTGTCCTTTTACAGCTTATCATCTTTCATTGAGAAATGAAAAGAAAATTAATGGCACGAGCTCTGCTTTTGAAGGAACACGTCCTAGCTTTCCTGGAGAACCTTGATTTAAGTGAGCAAACATTTTACATGACCTGGAGAATTCCACTTAACTAGTCACAAACAGAAACAACACAAATAGTATAATGCCAGTTGTTGGGGTTGTCACGACAGGGAGAAGTACTTCCAAATATTCAAGAGGAGGTTGTGGTGGATTGAACGGGGCAAGTCCTGCAAGGAAGAAGAACTAAATGTTCTGCATCCAATCAGGTGGCACGGCTCGATGATTTCTTAAAACAAGGTGAGAAGGACCTTGCTGGGCTCTGTCTCTGACACTCAAGGTGGCACAAAAGCACATGGGAAAACGTCTTTCAGTCTTTTAAAGCACAGATGTTTCATTCACCCTCTGTGATCTCCGTCCAAGAGGCAGCATCATTTAGTTTCTGATCCTCAAGAGGTTTAGCATCCTAGGAACGTGAGGGGGGGAAAAAAAGAGAGAAAGCTTTGTCCAGCAGGTACTTTAATTCTGGCTGGATCCAAAGCTATCTGCCCAGATCTAAAGCCTCATGTTTTACTTCACAGGGAAGGGAAGAAGCCAGGCTAGATTCAACTCACTTCTTAAGCAAAAAAAACCAACACAAAACACAAACTGGTTGCTGTTAAATTGTCTGCCACTCATGGCAACCTCATTTGTATCATAATACAATTGTGCTCCATAGAGTTCAATGGATTGTTTGTTGTGCCAGTCAGGGATGCTCAACCCACTTTAGGTTCATCTATTTAGGGAGGCTATGAGTTGAAGCAATGTTGGATTGTTGCTTTGCTTCAATCCTAAACTAGTTGTCTGTAGAATTTGTTCCAGTGAGTGAGAATCCAATGAGCTCAGGTGGCCTAGTGGCAAGAAGCTGCTCTGCAATCCTGAAGGCACATGCTTTGAATCCACCAGCTGTTCTACAGAAGAAGGATAGACAATCTCCTCCTGTGCACTTAACTGCCTCTGAAAACCTGCCAGAGGGTCGGCTATGAATCATTTGGTTCCAACTCAATGCTACACAACAACAGTATCCAAAACCAAAACTCACTTCCATCTAGTTGATTTCACCTTATATCAACCCCCTACTGGGTTTTCAATACTGTTTAAAGGTGACTGTTCCTATTTCTCCAGAAGAACAACGAGTGGATTCAAACTACCAAATGTTTTGGTTAGTAGCCCAAGATGAAACTCTATGCATATCATCAGGGCACCCTCAGTATGTTGTTGTTGTTGTGTGCCATTGAGTCAGAACTGACCCATAGGTGACCCTCTAGTGGATGTTCAGAGGCAGTAAACTGCAAGGGAGGAGACTGCCCACCCTTATCTCATGAAGTAGCTGGTGGATTTGAAACATATGCCTTCAGGATTACAGTGCAGTTTCTTGCCACTAGGCCTTCAGTATGGATATATTTAACTATCAATCATAAGAACTTTAGTGGCTTTAATAGTTTTGGAGCAACGGTAGAATGAAGAAAACAGCAGAAAGCAATCTGAGAACACTTAGGTTTGCAAAAGATGACAGATGACTAACTTAGTGTTCCCTGGTGGTTGGAACCACCTACCAGCACCCTGTTGATGTTGGGTGCCATCACTTTGCTTTTGGATCTAGCAATCCCATGTGACATGAGTAGAAATGTCCTCCAGGGGTTCTCTAGGCTGTAATCTTTAAGGAATGATTGCCAAGTCTTCTTTCCCATTACTGAGTGGATTTCAAACTTAGGCATTTGCTCCTCATTGGATGCAAATAAGAGTGGCCATTCCTTCTGGCTTTCCTTAAAACATCTGCTTTAGGTGGGGTCAGTTTCCTCTTTGAAATGAAGAGCTTTTGCATAATAAGTAAAGCCACTCTACTGCGTAGAATAAACAAGAGCTTGCTGCTTTCTTTGGAGTACCAGACAAGCAGTCTCCAAGCAGTCTCCATACATGGGCCCTGAGTAGATGCTTTTAATTTCTGCTTTGCTGAAAGCATCCAGAAGAGAGATCTCAGAGGTGAAGCCTACAGTTCAACTCATCTGTCATGAGCATTTGATGATCCAGAGAGTCTAAACTGAAATGATCACCTGCCTAGACACAAATCCCTTCCAGAGCTAGGTCTTAGCTCTTAATAAATAGAAAGGGATAAGATTGTTTGGAATGTCTTGGAAAGATAATTCCAGACTCCACAGGGAAGTCTACATTATAAAATGGCCCTCACAGGGATCCTACTGCCTTCTGTGGATGAGTTTTGGCTTGCTACAATAAAAATATATACATATATTTTATAGAACAGGTTTCCAAAGAACTACTCTTTCAAGAAAAGGATTTGAGTTCTCCTCTAGTGAACAAGATCAACCACGGTGACAAAGGATGGATACAGGAAGGGACAGTGGGATTCGCGATAACAAATCTGAGTTTTGTCTTCTTGTGGCGTGTTTTTACAATTGGAACACACAGACAGAATTGGCACTCTTGGCACTAGTAGCCAGGAAATCAAAAAACGTATTGCGATGGGAAAGTCTGCTGTTAGTGACCTCTCCAGGGTACTGAAGAGCAATGGTGTCATTCTGGGGACTAAGGTGCATCTGATACAGGCTATGGTCTTTGCAATCACTTGTTATGCATTAGAGTTGGACAATGACTAAGGAGGATAGAAGGAGAATTGATGCCTTTGAGCTGTGGTGCTGGAGAAGAGTATTGAATGTACCCTGGACTGCCAAGAAAACAAACAGATTCATCCTGGAGAGGGTTAAACCAGGCTGCTCCTTGGAGGCAAGGATTTCGAGGCTTTGCCTGACATACTTTGGACATGTTGTAAGGAGGGAGACATCCTTGGAGAGGGACATCATGCTTGGGAGGGTGGAGGGATGATGCAGAAGGGGAAGACCCTCTATGAGGTGGATTGATTCAGTGACTGGGGTAATCAGGATGGATGTGTCAGAGGCAGTGAGACCGGCACCGGAGAGAGGATGGTTTTGGGCTGTTGTACATAGGGTCGCTATGAATCACAAGTGACTCGATGGCACATAACAACAACAACAACAATAACAACAACAACAATCTGTGCGTAGGTGGAGGCAGCTCATTCTGGAGGACTAATGACCTCATGGGGCTTCTCACATAAGAAAAGTATTCTTCTTGACTCCCATCCTCCCAGTTCTAGCCTGGGCTGCTCTGACGGCCAACGACTGAGGAAGAAACCTTTGGTGGAATCTGGGGCTCCTTAGCTTCTGACTGTGACTGATGGTTCTTCCTTCACCATGAACCTGAGCTACTGATGTACTGATGTGAGTCAAGTTCAGGAAATGGGACTCCTCCTGCTACCAGTGTAGTGGGTTGAAGGGCATTTGGCATTTGTCGTTCTCATAATGGGGCTGGTCAATTCTGACTCCAATCAGGAACTGGTTTCTTAGAGGGGGACATGCTCTAGGAACATCTCAATGATATGCTGATGATAGAAATGCTACATTTCACATGTGAGAACAGAATTATTAACTCTGGACTAAAGGAGAGTAAGCATCCTTTGTTGATGATGATGTGGCCATCAAGTCAGTTTTGACTTACAGCAACCCTATAGTATAAAGGTTCCCAAAGGTGTAAATCTTCATGGAATCAAACGGTCCCATCTTTCTCTCACAGACTGGCTGGTGGGTTCAAACTGCCAACCTTCTATTTCACAGTCATGCATCCCAGTAGAGGTGTTTAGACATTTTTTTTAGATCTATTAATTCAATGTTTAATCATTTTAACTAAGTTGATTTATGAGGAAAATAAAAATTATTGTTTTATTGACATTAAAAACAAATCATAGGCATTTAAGTGACCTATCACCTAATGAACCTGAGATGGCATGGGGGATAAAAATCAAGATTAGCTATCATAAGTAGAGTATTGGTTCAGGCTTTTCCCTCCAAGTCTAATCCAAGTTTTCTGAAGAGATACTTACTTTCAGAATGTCATCCAGATGCATGACTTCTTGGTTCAGGTTCTGAAATTCTTGATATTGCTCTTTATGTGGTTCTAATGCAAGGAAAAGCCCATTAAAGGCATCCTCTAAGCTCTCATCTAGAAAGGATCTACAGCCTTCGGATTCCCCACTGACAGAGCCTTCAAAGAGCAGCCGTTCCGTGACCATGGGCACCTCTGAGGAGGTCAGCCTCTTGACCAGCTGCTTCGTGATGTTGCCTTCAAAGGTGTCCAGTTCCACAGGCTTGAGCTCTGAGGCCTCATCGGACGCTTGCAGAAGAGCCTCTGCAACATCATTCTCAATGAACAGGTGGTCAGGCTCAGCACCTGCGGGTGGCTGGTGGTTCTCAGAAGTGGTTGAGGCAGCCTTCTCCTTGCGTTCTGTGTGTTCCTCCACATTTGACTTTGGCTCCTGGCCTTCTGCAGAGGAGCTTCTGGAAGATGCTGAGCTGCTGTCATCTGCGCCTTCGTTCTGGGAGGACAGGCTGCTGTCATTGAGCTCCGCAGGGGTGATAGTAATTTCTGGGTGAGCTGGGCAAGTCTTGGAGGGAGAGGCCACAGAGTTGGAGGGTGGGGCGCAGTCCCCATCGGGTAGGTCGCTGAAGCTGAGGGATAGTGGCGTTTTCTCCTCAGCTGCCTTTCCGTTCTCAAAGATGTCATCAGGTAGATTAGACTGTGGATAAAAGACACCTCATTATTATTTTCAAAGTAAATGAAACATTTAGCATAATCTATTTACAGGTGGTAAAATATCAAGCAGTTAAAATGAAATCAGAGTTTACATAATATTATCATATATTATTTGTATGTGTGTATGAGAGAAAGGGGGAAAAAAAGAAAACCTTTAAAATAAAAATCTCTTTTCCATTGTTGAATCCAGGCTTACGTTCACGGTATTATTCTTTCAACTTAAGTATAGTTTTGACATTTTTCCAAATAGAAGGTTACTAAGGGTAGGAGAAAGTGATTTGTCCCTTAATCTTAGAATTTCATTCCACTTGGCAGCCATAGTTATCTACGTGGCTACTGAGTGTTTTGGTTTTGTTTTTGAATTTTTAGAGTCTATCTTAAAAAACTTTTCACAATTCATGCTATTTCACACCAAAAATGAGACACTTCAGGTCTGCTTCAGTTTTTATACATTATTGTTCAAAAATCTCAACTCAGGAATCTCACGTTCTTGAAACTGTTTTCTTAGTTTAGTAACCACACAATAAATAATTAATGGCTGGCAATATGTCTGCAGAGCTTCTATGAAAATAGAAGGAAGATACTGAGAATCAGAAAATCAATTTCCTGAGAATGCAAACCCCATGGCATCAGGGTGCAGAGACAGAGTTATGTCTGGCAGGCTCTCGCTGTTTCACAGGTCACTTGTGCTTTGTGAAGCAGAACTCTGAAGACAGAGGCCAGAAATATCCAGGTAACCAAGATCACTTGCTTCCTCAGGCAGTTTTCAAGCCACTCTTCATTACTCAGTAGTCTGTGCACAGTGTTTAAGTGTCAAATACTGCTCTGTAGAAAACGTTTGAGATGAACCACTTCAGTAGGAGCCATTTTTTTTTTATTCCTGATTAGATTTTTAAAGTTAGTGGCAAGTACCAAGCTAATATCTATTCTAATTATCTAAGTGTCACAACGGTGCTAGGACTAACCCCAGCAAACAAGAGGTACAATAAGTTAAATGGGGAGCACACAACACAGAAAGGTGAAGGTTCTGATCCTGTCCCTGCTGGATCTGAGGCCAATAGATCCTAACGCGTGGTGAGTTCAACCCAAACTTCCCACTCCAGTTGGTTTGGGAAGGTGGTTAAATGCAGGCTGAGGAAAAGGACATATCTTTGGAAGCCTCTGTTTCTTCTCTGAAACTGGGAGTTTTAAGTTGTCAAGCCCCATGAAGTCGCAGGGTAGTGAAGGGGGCTGTTCTGTGGACTCTTCACAGAAAGTGTGAAGAGGCTGGATTCTGGCCCTTTCTCCTCATCCTGCCCCCATTTGAGTAACCAGTTATAGTGGCATGCAGTCTGACTTCTGATGGCCTCATGTGTGGCAGAAAAGAGCTGGCTCCGCAAGGCTTCCAATAGCTGCTTTTTCAGTAGCAGACTGTTAGACTTTCTTTTGAAACCACCAACTTTGTGGTGGATATTTGAGAAAATTAATCATTTGCATCACCCATGGATGCCCTATCTGAACAATTCCAGGTTTATTTCCTCTCTCCTCTATCTCCCTCTCATTGCTGTCAAGTTAGAACTGATTCATAGCTGACCCTCCACTGGGTTTCTGAGGCTGTAAATTGGTAGAAGGCTGTAAATTAGGGAAGGACTGCTCATCTATCTCCTATGCAACTGCTGATGGACTCAAACTGCCAGAAAGGCATTCTGTTTGGTTAGCAGAGAAATTCTCTATGAACTCTACCACCTGAGCTCTCTGTCCTCTATCAGTAACTCCTAATTACATATACTTTATACTTCTAGGAAATATTAAAAAGCAAGCTTTGGTAAGAGGAATACAGAAAGGGTGGAGTTCTGTGGGTATCTTCCAGAAGCCTCTAGTATGTCTCGGTGGCTTCAGAGGTAGATGGAAAAGACAGGCTGCAGAAGGACTGGGAAATGAGCACTGCTACTTAGATCCTGGAGTCTTCCTTCACCACCTGTTTGGATCTCACATTTTCTAAATTTGATCTGTATCCACTTGACTAGAAAATACTGTAGTAGAGTAAGTTGAGTCAAACTAGCTAAGGGGACTTAATGTCTACCAAGGGACAAGTCTATAAATATACACATGAATGTTCAACACAATGCCTGCTATAACTGAGTAGAGACAGAATGGGAGCTTTGATGGCCTAGTGGCAAGGAGACACTACAATCCTGAAGGCACACAGTTCGAGGCTACCAGCTACTCCACAGGAGGATGGGCAATCTCTTCCCATGAGATTAACTGCCTCTGAAAACCTGCCAGGGGATCAGCTATTGGTCGGTTCCAACTCTATGGTACACAACAACAACACGGACAGGATAAGCTAAGAGGCCCAGCCAGGGAAGCCACAGCCAGAGAAAGGGATGGTCCTAGAACCCAGCCTTGGAGAATGGTGGAGGGTCGGGCATGGGGAGGAGGCAAAGCATATTATTCTTCACAGAAAGACTGATGTGTGTAAAGGACCAAGATCCTGAAATGTTGTGGTGCCCTTGGACGGCCATGGGAAGTTCAAGGTGAGTCATCAGAGGATAAAGACAGTGAGAGATGCACCTTGGAGATGTAGGCTGTATTCACATCAGAATCTGAGGGCCTCTGTATTTATCCAAAGGCATTAGAAAGCCATTAACCTTTTCTAATCTTTCTCTTATTTAACTTATGCTATTAAAATCTTTACCAATCCTTGCCCACCTTGTTTGTAGTGTGTAAGAGTAAATAAAGACATTAAATTGATAGTTATGAATGTAACTGCATTAGCTATGTTGTGTGCTGCTATTGCTGTTTCTTAGTGTTTCCACACATTTTAGTTGCAAATATTCCCCCCTTTTCTTCTTTGAAACGCTACTGGAATTCGTCCTTCCTTCTCATCTGTGAGTTGTTTATTTATTTTTTTTTTAGTTGTTTATTTTTAAATCAGTGAATAAAATGCAACTGTTATTATTATGAAAGAGAAAATTTTTAACCTTTCTCCTCTGTATATTAAAAATTGACTTTTATATGTCAGTATATAAAAGGGAACACTGGTGGCATAATCTGTAGGAGTTGTGCTGCTAACCCCAATTCTGTTCCTCTCTGGCAGCTGGCGTGCACCATGGACAAAGATGGATCATCTCCTCTCTTGGCATTTGGAGTGTCAGCGATGAGTCAGTTCCAACTTTATGGCAATGGTGGTTGATTGCCTTCAAGTTGAGCATGACTCATAGCTACCCCATTAACAAAAGACCTGAAGCCTCTACAACTATCAACATTTATCAAAGTTCATAGAGTTCCCAGAGCCTTGTTGTTTAGGAAGCAGATAGTGGTAATATATAAATGCAGAACAGTATGAATATTCTGGATACATATCCATACTCTCATGAGGTAATAACACATGTAATGAAATTTATCAAATACCTGACTCTGAATGAAAGAGTTCCTTTTACCAGGGTATCGACAAGCAATACAACAAACTAAGAGTGAGTCTCTTTAAATCAAAACAGTTCAAGTCAGCTTGGTCATCACTGAGATTTCCTTAACTATTAGTTTTTAATACCAAAACAGTGTCTATGAGCTGACCCCAGTGGTCAACTGATTTAGCCTCTGATAATCAATCTTCTCTGACAGACATTATAGTTTTTGAAGATGGAAATCTTGTTACCATGGATATCTTTGCCACCAGAAAGAAAAATTCATAGCACAAAGGACAAATGGTCTGTCTTATAGAGCTGCATGCACTGCCAAGTTCCCCAGCCAAGGACAGGACAGATGTAACCATTCCCCCGACCCAATGAGCCAAACAATAGAGGAGAAGATGGAACAAGAGCCATGCCAAAGCACCCATGCCCCAAGCCCCGACCTCAAGCACTTCACACTCGTGCACATCCCACTCACATAAAACTCTAGCACGGCCGTGGGGCGCAGCCGGAGGGAGGGCAGGTCGCCGAAAGAGCGGCTGCGTTGCAGCTTGGCAAAGAAAGTGTCTTGCAAGGCACTCAAGACAGACAGCCGCCTTGGCTTGTCTGGTGAAGGATGCAACCATTTCTTCAGAAGTCAAAGCAAGATTGGGGAGTTAGTGGAAAGCATTAAGTCACCAGGTTTCATTCGCTTTTAAGCAAGCATTTTGGATTAAAACAAGAAGGGGGTTCTTTATATCAGTTTCCTTTAAAAGGATGATATTGGAGGGTATTCAGGAAGGGTAGGTGTCATAATCAAAGCAACAGGCCAAGCAGGTGGCGGGAGAGGACAGATGGGTAGGGTGGGGGTGGGTGTTCGTCAGCTGTGTGTCTATGACAAAAGGCAGCTTAGAATGCAGCTTCCTGGGTTATTACTGAACTATGATGAAGTTCTAAGAATAATATTCTTTAGGAATTATTGAGATATACTAATAGGATACACTGAGTATTTAAAATCATGAGTAAGCACTGGCTTAGGCCCACTGTCAACCCCAGACACCATCCTGAACTTACAAAGAAAGAATGATCTTTGAAGGTGGGCGTTTCCGGGGTGCCCTGGCTGTACATGGACATTCTCCGCTGAAGGGCAGCCGCCTTGTTCCCAGTGCCCGAAGTAGGAGTCATGTCCTCCACATCGAATGGACTGTAAGACACCATTTTAAATGGTTAAAATCCTCTATGTATGGCTTTTCTGTAGATGTTCATTGAAATGAAAACAAAACAAAAAAATCCTCTATGGCCACCAGACCACAGGCCAACTCAACACTAATTTCAACCCAGAGGTAGCTGGGATGTTTCTGGTCAAATTGGTTTGTCATAAAATCAACCAAGATAAAAGAAAGAGAGGCAAAATATTGAATCTCAGTCCTACCCAAAAACCCACAGATCAATTGGTTATTGGTATACCTAGATATCTATTTCCTTACATATAATAGAAAACTAATATATTGATATTTGTCCTATGAAAAGAAGATATTGCTGGATGGGAAGTTTGTACAATTTCTTTGTACAGTTTTCTAGGACAGACACTTGAACAATACAAGCACTTTCGCAGAATGGAGTACTACACAACACTGAAAAATAAGCAATTAACAAAACTACATAATATCAACAAATTTAGGAGACATTATACCAAGTAAAATAAGTCAGTCACAAACGGACAAAACAATATAAGACCTCTTTTATAAAAATTTCAAGAAAACTTTCTACACAGACTTAATCTTGGATAGTAACCAGAGACGAAATGAAAGAGTAAAAATTAATAAATAGGTTAAAAGGCACGTATTAATATGGGTGAAAGGAAAGGCAATATTCAATAAAGGAATAATCATCACCCTATCACCAAAGAAAGGTAAGGCACAAAAAGATATAGAGGAATTAATGGAACTAAAAATTACAGGAAATAAGCAGGAACAGTACGATTACATTGAGGTTACCGAAATTCATACCATTAAACAAAATGTGCATGAATGACTGAATGAAAAATTATTTTGTTTTTGTAAACCTTCACTCAAATCACAATAAAAATTAAAGAGAGTAATAGATACTTGTTCAGTCCTAAATAAAACATTCAAAGATGGAATCCCATTGGTCTTCAAGTCTCTTAAAAGTAGTGTTTATTATCATGCCATCTAATTCACCCATCTGAGATGGTAATGATTGTAAGTTACGAGGAGGGAGTGCCGGTAAAGGTTGCTTTCCCTACTGCAGTGACAAGGTCACAGGATCTTCATTGCCTCCATGCCTCTCTATATGAAATAATACAGTCAACTCCATCTGGAGACCTCATGGGCGTCAGAGTAGAACTGCACACCACCAGGTTTTCAACAGTTGAATTTTCAGTTGTACATCACAAGGCTTTGCTTCCAAGGTGCTCTGGGTAAACCTGTACCTCCAACCTTTTAGTTATTAACCAAGTACATCATACGCACCATCTTGGGCTCTCAGGTCATATTTATTACTTGCTGATCCAGCAGAATAACATTTGATGCTGTAAGCAACTGGTACTCGGTGATTTAGCAAATGGCCTTGCTTAAGGGGTAAATTCAGAAAAATCACTTTTTAAGTCATTTGTTTTGAGAAAAACATTACCTCCTTTGGAAAGAATCACTCTCAGTTTGCAGAAGAAGAGATGTTAGGCTTTTACTCAAGTTGTGTGAAGTATATAAGATTAAACAGGATAAACAATGAAAAATACTACAGTGCCCAAAGCTTAAGGGACATGGACTTCTAAGGGTGATAGAAAAATGGGAATCATTAAGGACGATGGCTGAACATGATGGACATAGTTAATGTCACTGAATTATATATGGAAATATGTTGAAATGGCTAATGTTTTACTATCTATATTTATTTGTTTAAAATACACACACAAAACTGACAGGGCAACACGGATATTAATTAATATTGCTAAGTTGTACATGTAAAAATGACCAAACTGGCAAATGTCTTGTTACATATATTTTACCATAAAAAGTAAAAAGTTTTTCATCAATCTAACCAACCACCATAGGGGGGGGAAATCATGCTTTTTTTGAACGTAACTATCTTATACTGGATACTGGATACTTATTTCTTTCCAATTTGTCTATTTAGGAGACATATTTTTATATATTTAGAAGCAGAGAAGGAGGGAGAGAGGGAGGCAGGATAACAGAATTGATCCTTGAACAACGGGACTTGGAACCACTTAAGGAACTTATATGCAGATATCACCCTCTCCCCATTACTATTGCAAGGGAGCTCTGACAGCCTAGTGGTAAGGAGTTGGGCTGCCAACCCAAAGGCACACAGCTTAAATCCACCAGCTGCTCTGCAAGAAAAAAGATGGGCAATCTCCTCCCATGCAACTTACTGCCCCTGAAAACATGATGGAGGGTCAGCTACAAGTTGCTTCTGACTCAGTGGTTCCTAACAACAGTGTTATTGCAGAGACTTCAAGCGTTGCATATGCTAAAAACTCCAGGAGCTGCTAATTATCTCCTGTAAGTAGCTCATCTTTCTAGTAAATAACACATCACAGTAACAAGGGATTACCCCCCTATTGCCGGTTGTTCAAGGGTCAACCTATTTTAAAATGGGAAGTATAGGAGGAGAGTAGAGACGGACCCGTTTCTCCAACTTCAGCCTATATGAGCACCACCTGGCGAGCTTATTCATCAGATTGTTGATGGGGCCACCTTTTAAACAGCACGAGCCTGTAGCAGACATTTGTCTGAGATGAAATTAGAAAGGGTAACTTACTACCAGGTGATTTCCAGGTTCAGTTTGATGGTGCCAAGGTCATTGATGTCAACAGCCACCACCTGAGGATGAGCTGCAAACAGCTCTTTGGTTTCACAGGTCACACTGCCCACCAGGAGGTGCGTTGCCAGCCCTTTGAGCTCTGTGACCTAGGAGAGAGGGCAAAAGGCCTTATATGACAGCAGAGGTGAAAGAGAATATAATTTCCCTTTTCCTTTGCAGGTTGGATTGTTTCGGAGTCACTGTTCATTAACTCCAAAGCACAGTGACTGTATGCATGTCAGAGCAGAACCATCCTCCATAAAGTTGTTCATCGTTGATTTTTCAGAAGTAGATTGCCAGGCTTCTCTCCTGAGAGGCTTCTCGTTGGACTTGAAGTGAGATACTTTAACCTTTCTGTGACATTAAGTGCTTATTGTTCAAAGTGACTTTCCTAGCCACTGACTCAGACTCTGCGATGTGGACGGGTTGGAATATGTGAATAGAGTGTGTCAGTCTATCTACAAGGGGATTGGCTATCCTCACTACTAGGTTCAGCAGATTCAGGGGCAGATTCTGAGGGTCTTACCACCAGTAAAGAAGCAGCAGCAACGCAGTACACACCCTGCAGGGCCAGAGATTGTTAACACTAGCCAGATCCACAGCAGCAGAAGCTGATGTCACAGGAGAAAACCAGAGAACTGACATGAAACAGAGCTGACCTTGGGACTGCTACTCCATGGAACCAGAGCTAAGAGCCTTCGCTTGCTGGAGGACTTGGGGTGGGGAGAGCCATAATTGTCAGGACTAAGTGGTAAATTAAGGAACTTCACTGCAATCCTGAATGCATGCAGTTCAAATTCCTCAGCTGCTCTTGTGTGATTAATTACTTCTACCAGGTGATTTCAGGTGGAGGGTCAACCATGAGTTGGTTCTGATTTGACAGCAAACAACAACAATAGCAGGAACAGGAACATTAGCTTAAAGCTGCTAGGCTAAAGGCTTAGGTGCCTATGAGAACATTATAGCAGCTGTCCTGACCGAGTGAGTGAATTCTGAATTTTTACTTCCCTAACAAACTTTGTAAGTATGATTCCATGTGCTGTTCTGAGTTATTGCAATGAATTCTAGACCGAGTAAAGCAGTAAGACTGGTGTTAGTAGAAAAAGGTACTGGTGTGTATGAGTTATGTTTGACCACGTGGGAATTGGTTTTGTCTTGTGAATGTTGTTATTGGGACAGTTCCCTTCTGAGGAGTTAGGAGAGGTAACATATGCCCATCCCCAAATGGCCCTTGTTTTTTATAACTTTGTACCATTTATGAGTTGCTACAGCTGAAAATCAAAGTGACTATTCCCAAAGACCATCTTAAATGTATTTCTACTACTCTCATACCAGAGCTCTGGTGGCCTAGTGGTAAGAAACTGTGCTACAATCTCAAAGGTACACAGTTCGAATCCACCAGCTCCTCTAGGGGAGAAAACTGACAACCTCTTCCTGTGCCATTTACTGCCTCTAAAAATCTGCTGGAGGGTCAGCTATGAGTTGGTTCTAACTTGACAACACATAGCAACAACTCATACCCGAGTGGCTCTTATTGTAGTACATGTGGGTACAGAGGGAAGCCTCTGGGATGGAAGGGCAGTAGGTTAAGGTTACCATTACCATTAGCTCATCATGCTGTGGTGCCAGGAAAGACAAGTCAATGACAATGCTTACCTTGATGGAAATCAATCCGACTATCAGCGGCAGGAAGACCATTTCTTCTCCATCCCAGCTCTGTTTGCCATTGACTTCTATTTTGCCTTTCAGTTTCCACCTCTGTCGGCCATACTTCATGAAAATCTGGGGAGAAGACATCGAAGACCCACATGTCCCACTGCCCTCATCCATCTTCCCAGCCCCCACACCACGGCCCAAAGTGTGAGTAGATAAACATCTGCTGCTCTGCCCTTCTCCATCCTATCTCCATTACGGTATTGTCCATTCTTTGAGATTTCCTGCATTCTTCAAGGTGGGACAAGTGATGAGAAGCAAGAAGATGCTTAAAAGGGAAGTTAAGAATCGTAAAAGTTTTGTTTTTTAAAGACAGAAGGAGTGGAGGGTTTTCTTTAGTAAAGGTATTACTCTATGCCCTTCTGCTTAACTCAGGTCAAATAGTTGCTTTTGGTTAATTCTACGTCAATGCCACAGTCAGTGAGAATCATTCTCCACACTCCCCAGCTCCTTTAGAGGCATGAGAAACCATCAGCAAAAAGTGTCAGGTGCAAGAACTAAGTTATCCTCCCTTTAGATGAGGAAGTCAGAGCTGAACAAGGACTAGGCAAGGCAACACTGAGAAGGTATAGATATCTCCATGGAAAGAGCGCTGTAGTGTTTAGGGAAAGATACTCTCCGACCCCCACCTCAAAAGGCATGATTGTAAAGGGGCTTGGGACAGATGAATTGACTATACAAAATCCCTTTAGAAGGGAGAAAATGTTCTCCATTCACCTGTTAGTATACATTTATGAAGAAAGATACAGACATTAGTTTTCATTAATGATTCTTATGATTATGCATGAGTCTAGATTATATCTTAGATCAGAAAACCAGACTAAAAAAAACATTTTAAAGTAAAATAATAAGAAAACTGATAGCATATGGCTATAGAGAATGTTATTCAATGATGTTACATAAAGCACCAATATTAAATTGTTGGTACTGAGAACTATTGTAAGGAGGGTCCGATCCTTGGAGAGGGACATCATGCTTGGGAGAGTGGAGGGACAGCTCAGGAGGGGAAGACCCTCTCTGAGGTGGATTGATTCAGTGACTGGGGTGACAGGGATGGGTGTGTCAGAGGCTGTGCGATTGGCACAGGATAGAGCAGGGTTCAGGGCTGTTGTACACAGAGTCGCTATGAGTCACAAGCGACTCGATGGCATATAACAACAACAACTCTCTGAGAACTATATGATAACATGAAGAAAGTGTCTTCCCATTCTTAGGAGGCCAATTTAAAGGTAAAAGGTAATAATGTCTGTACTTTAGTCTAAAATGGTTCAGTGAATAATAATAAGAAATTAAAGCAAATATGGTATAATGTTAACCATCAGTATATCTAGATGAAAAGAGAACAGGTACCTTTTTTTTTTTTTTTTTTAGATCTGGTACTACTCTTGAAATTGTCTTATGCATTTAAAATAGAGACAATTTAAGAAGCCAAGTGATGACAACTGGGCCTTCCTTTCAAGTTCTCAATGCCAACCCCTAGCCAATAGCACTTACTTCATATTGATCTCCAGGGCAGAGACGAGCAAAGCCAGCCAGACCTAGAAGCAAGCAATTAGAATGTGAGATGTAGACACGTGTCCCTTTGATACAAGCCCACACAAACATACTTCAAAAATTCAAATAGCAAAAGGATAAATATGATACACCTTTACTTATATGCAATAATAGATCAATCCACAGATCATTAGTGCTTATGGGGTAAGGCATAGGAAGAGAGAAAGATGAGGCTTCGGTTGAGAAAATGTGCAGTTTAATTTAGTGGCGGTGGAATGATAGTGAAAAGCAGGGTGAGAATGACAGCAGTGTGAAGAATGTGATCAATGTCTTTGAATTGTACATGTAGAAATTCTTGAACTGATGAATTTGTATGTATGTGTATTTTCACCATATGTTATTGCATGGAGCTGCAGTAGTATAGTTTATAGGGCATTGCACTCTACCCAAAAGGCTGTGTGTCTCCTGTGGCTCAAATCCACCAATAGCTCCTTGGGAGGACAATTGTCTCCTGTTAAGATTTACAGCTTTGGAAATCCAGTGGAGGATCTCTGCATGTCAGAACCGATTTCAATGCACTGAGGTTTTTTTTTTTTAGTTTGAATATGTTGCAATGTAGTGGAGCTTGTTCTGACTCATAGAGTTCCTACCAGTCAGACTAAATCTATTTCCTGTGATTTCTTATGCTATAACCTTTATGGGAACAGATTTTGTTGTTGCTAGATGGCTAGAGTTGAGTACAATTTACCTATGAACAACAGTTCTGAACACTGTCTTATTTCATGATATCCTCTCAATCTCTGACACACTCAAGTCCATTGCTGCAGTCACTGTGTCAATTCATCTGGTTGAGGGTTTTCCATTCCTTCACCATCCCTCCACCTTCACAAGCATGATGTCCCTCTCCAAAGAATAACCTCTCCTAGCAAAATGTCCAAAGTATGTAAGACAGCGCTTTGTCATCTTTGCCTGCAAGGAACACTCTGCTTGTATCTTCTCCAAGACATATGTTTGTTCTTTTGGCAGATATTTAGTACTCTTTTCCAACCCCACATTTCAAAGGCATCAATTCTTTATTATTCTGTCATCTTAATTCATTGTCCAGCTCTCAGATGCATAGTAAGTGACTAAAAAGACCATGGTTTAAAACAGGTGCAGCTTAGTTCTCAAACTGACACTATTGCTCCTTAATAATCTGGAGAGGCCCCAGACTACAGACTTTCCCAAAAGATCTCCTGATCTCTTGTTTGCTGCTACCAAGTATACTAAAAGGCTGGTGGATTCTAATTGCTGACGTTTAGTTAGTCCCTAAGAGTTTACCACCAGGGCTCCTATTCAACTAAATAAAAATTAAAGCCCAGAATAGATTCTGTTAATGTGAGACTAGAGCTGTAACTGCCTGATTTAAGATTCAATCAAATTCCATTCAGAGTCTGAGAAAGGTATATTCATTTGCTTACTTAAAATATTCCCATGAAAATGATATTGCTATCTTGTTTTTAGTTTTGCTTCAATGCTGTGAATTCGCTACCAAGTTATATCTGACTCTCTACCTGGTTTTCCGAGACTGTAAATCACAAGGCAGCAGTGGAAAAGGTCCAGAGATGCAGGAAAAATGCACTTGCTATTACTAGAAAAATGCACTTGCTATTACTAGAAGCTGCCACGAGAGGGCAGCAACCCACCAGCTTACCATTTCTCTTACCCAGGTGGTTAGTGCATGAAAGCGCTTTCACTAATAATTAGAACATAACAAGCCACTTAAAAGGATTTACTGAAATAAACCCGGAATGAAACAGGGTAATTTCCACGATTTAAAAAACATTTCTTAAAGCACAACCGACTGGCTTTTATAAATACAAATCCCAAATGGATCAGCCAATTCAAAGAAAAGCTTTTTAAAAGCCCTCGCAAATTAGTTCAGGATTAATCCATTGCCTTTTCACCTGTGCAACCACCAAAAAAGTCTAATTGAAAAGAAACTGACCTGAGTATTTTCTGGGATTATGTGCCATTATAAAGATTATTAAAGGTTGCTACAGAGCAATGTTTAATAATCCTTATAATTGTACATAGGGTGGCTATGAGTCACAGGCAACATGACGACACATTACAACACCACCACCCCTGTTGGCCTAGAGGGTAGTGAGATATGCTGCTAACCTAAAGGTGGCATCTTGCTAGTGGTTCAAATCCACCATTGGCTCCATAGGAGAAAGTGGGGTAATTTTCCCGTTTAGAGCCTTAGAAGACCCACTGGAGGGTCAGCTATGAATCAGTTCTGAACTGATAGTAATCAGAGTAGAAAAATCAAAGTATCCATAGGTAATCATTTCTGATTTCATTTTCCTCCATGTATCTAAAATTCAGACATTGGTTATTCAGTTTTGGTTATGGCTCATTAACAAACTATCTACTATTAATAGAATAACCATATGGAATTCAATTAGATACATATATGCACCAAAGGATTAATTAAATACACACACACACACACACACACACACATATATGTTGTTGTTGATTGCCATCAAGTTGAGCATGACTCATAGTGACCCTATGAACATAACGCCTGAAGTCTTCTATAACTACCATCATTTGTCAAAGTTCATAGAGTCTCCAGAGGCATGTTGTGCTGCTGGCCTACTGGTAATTGCTCTGTCAGCCCAAAGGCATGAAGTTTGAACTCATCAGCTGTTCTGCAGGACAAAGATAGGCAATCTCTTCCTGAGTGATGTACAGCCTCTGAAAACTTGCTGAGGATCAGCTATGAGTCGGTTCCAATTTGATGGTACACAACAAGAATAAGTACCTATAATAGGTAAGGAATTGAGCTGTCAAGCCAAAGGCACACAATATGAATCCATCAGTGGCTCTGCAGGAGAAAGATGGATAACTTCTCTCTCCTGCTGAAAAGTCAACTTTTGTGACTTTCAGCATCTTGTCTGGTAAACTTAGGGGATTTTTATAGTGAGGTCAACCTTACTGTCATCTTAACACTTTGTAATGACTTCTGAATGATCTGGAAAGCTAACACTACAAGTATTGTGATTCAAAGGCACACAACATAAACAGACACACTCGCGCTCTCTCTCATACATACACACACACACACACACACACACACACACACGTATCTAGGTCTTCTTTTTGTATATAACTCCTACAAGACAGTAAGAAAAAGGCTACTAAAACCAGGATATCAGAATGGCCAAGAAACATATAAAAGGGTGTCCAACATGATACATCAACAAAGAAATAAAATTAAAATTACAATGAGATAAAATAATACACTGATAGAAATGGTTAAATCTTAAGTCTAGCAAGGATGTGGAGGAATTTAACTCTCCTTCACCACTAATGAGACTGTGAAATGGAAAACTGCTTGTTTGCTCCGGAAGCAAATAGGTTATGGCTAGTCATACAATATACAATAGTTATAGAATGCAGAAGTCAGTATATTTGTCTGGGGATTTTAAGAAAGGGGAAACTCTATGAACTTGGAGAAAAGATGAAAGTTTTGTGTTCAAGACTTCCATTCCTAGGGCTGCTATGGGTCATCTACGACTCTACGGCACTTAACAACAACAGATAGTAATTACTTTAGGCTTTGCATGCCAGTCTCTGTCTTTGGATTGTCAAAACAGCTATGCACAATATATAAATGGATTCCAGTAAAAAGGTCTTTCAAAAAGGAATAAATGTAAGAAACTGACCTGGTATCGTTACTGGCTAATGGTGAACAAAGGGTATTAATACTTTTACAATCTCTTTTTCTTTCAAATTATCAGAAGTTTCACATCTAAAGAACTTAGCCAAATGGGAGAAGTTATGGGGTGGTAGTGTTTTTGAGCCTCTTGTCCTGTGCTATCATTGCAAAATTTCTTGAATTTTTTATCATGACTACAATATAACAATTATGAACTACAATGTCTGCTGAGTTGATTCTGATTCCCTTTATGACAGAGGAGGTTCCAAGGTTGTAATCTTTACAGAAACAAAATGCCACATCTTTTTCCTGAAGGCCATTTACTGGGCTTGAACTGATGAACTTTGGTTGGTTGCTCAGTACTTACTGTGCTGCACAACACTGCTGTGTTCTGCAGCACAAGGTGCTCTTGATAACAGCTGCAAAACAGTGCAGTGCGAAACAGTGGGAAGTTACCAGAACAGTCTAATGTCTTGTGCACCTGGTTCTCTAATAGCATAATGTGTTATATGTTAGGCTGCAGACCAGAAGGTTAGTGGTTGAAATCCACCTGCTGTCCTTTGAGAGAAAGACAGGTAGTCTCCTTCCATAAAGATTTACAGCCTCAGAAATTCTACTGAGGTCATTATGAATCAGACTTGTTGGCAGTGGTTTCTTTGTTTTGTCTAGGTGCTTTTCAGCATCTTGTCTGGTAAACTTAGGGGATTTTTATAGTGAGGTCAACCTTACTGTCATCTTAACACTTTGTAATGACTTCTGAATGATCTGGAAAGCTAACACTACATCACTCAAAAAGTTGTCACTAGGGGCTTACTCTGGGAAGGGTGTGAGCTGGTGGTGGTGGACAAGGTTTTTATTTTTATGGTACACCCTGTGCTAGATGTTTCACCTGCCTCGTTGCTGTAACAGCTGCTCTGTGGCCTCGCTTGGAGACCTAGATGCTACACTGACCACCATTTCCTCCCACTGCTCAGACCATTCTTCCAGAACAACTCTTAAGTTTTCTTCTCAGTCCAAAGAAAATAATCAAGGAGATGAACAGGGCTCCCACCACAGGGCTTGCTCATTTAGGGATCAGGCATAAATAATGCCCAAGGACCAGCTCGTTGGTGTTCCTTTCCTCCCTGGTCCTGAATTCTCAGCACTCTGAAAGCTGCAAGTGACCTTGTCTTGTGGTCAGCACAGACTTCGGCATCCATACCCACTGCCTGGAACTTAATGTGACCAGAACTCCTTGCTCTCACATCAGTTAGTACTCGTGATAGCCTTTGATCAAGATTCTAAGGTGGAGTATAGTCAGAGGATTTGTTGCTGTTTATTGTCAAGTTAGAGCTG